CCACAAAAATCAATTGGGGACCCCTATTTCTTGTGATTGGACATGCACAGCTCTGCAGCGAGAATCATTATCTCTAAATTGATTGACCCAAATGTCATGCAGATCGTCTTGGGGGTGGGGGGCGCCAGCGTGCTTGAGCAGGCTTGCATTTTCTGCTGGCTGCACAACCAGATGCGGCAGTGGCCTTGATGGCCAACCTCTAACAGAGCGGGTCGGGGTGTTTTACCCTGGCTATGGGAATTGCAGTAATTTGACAGAAAGTGGAACTTCAGAAGTTTTTCAACTTTCCTTTCTGGCCTGTACATTAGCCGCTGGCTTGAGTGCGCAAGACAAGAAACACTGAATGAGGACCTGGGAGCCGTGCAGGGTCCCGGAGGGGAAGAGCTAAGGTTTACTGAGTGGCTGCCTGCTCCCTGGGGCTCTGCTGGGCTCCCCCACATTGTATCCCTTCCTCCTCACATCGTGCCTTGGAGGTGGGCACTGTGTCATCATTTTCAGTTAAGAAAATAAGATCTTAGACCAAGTCAGCCACCCCAAGTGGTACAGTTCAGAAGTGGGGGTGCAGACACTCAAACCTCGGCAGTCTGATAGCAAAGCCCGAGCTCTTGGTCACCCACTGCATGATCATGGCACAAAGGGCTCACCTGGCTGGGCTCAGCGCCCCCCCCCCCACCACATAAATAAGGGGGTAGCCAGCTAGTTCCAGTGTATCCAGCACCTCCACATTTGCCACGGTAGGGTTTCTCAGAAGTCCTCACATGTCACCTTGTTGAAGCAGCTGCTTTGCTTTGGGGGCCGCATGTAGCTCCCAGGCCAGAGCAAGGTCCCCAAGGGTCACAGGCAACTGAGGATCCTCCGTCCACCGATGCAGCGAGCAAGAAGAAAAATGCTTGAGGCATTTTCCTAATATTCATCCCCAATTCTCCTGCACCCAAGCCCTCTCTCCTATGTGGCTGCCTGATTTTGATCATTTCTTAGGCACTTTGGTTCATTGAACAGCCTCTGTTCAGTGCTTTAGACTGACCCGTTCATTTAAAAACTGCTGTCTCGTGTCCATTTTGCAGCTCACCTGACCTGACTCCCAGCACTGGCCTGCCCATCTGTGGCGCTAGCAGCCAGCAGTGCGTGTGCACGTGTGGGTGTGTGCATGTGCGCATGTGGGTGTATGCGTGTGCGCGTGTGTGGAGGGAGGAAGAGTGCAGGGTCTCTCTTGACCTTTCCTTTTCTACTTCTGGGCTTGGGGTTGGTTATGGGGTGGGGTATGAAAGAGAGGAACCAAAGACACCTCTGCCTCCTTGTTTGTTCTAGTTCCTTCCCTAGAGCACATTAATAATGAGGGTTGGTGATGGCAAGTCCCATTATCAAGGCACCTGCTTCTGGGGCCTCGGGGATCTCATGCAAGAGTGGCTCCATCTTGCTGCTGACTCTCGGCATCCTGTTCTCTGAATTCCTCTTTGTCCACAACATAGAAGATTCCAGAAAGATCCCCAGAAGCTGTAAACGTGAGGAAGCTGTCTTTTCCCGGTGGATAGTGTTGATCTGAAGGTAATCCTTCCTTCTTGCCAGAGATAATTCTGGAACAGGTGTCTGGCCCAAAGCCAGCCAGGGAGATAGGATGAGAAGTTGTGGAAGACATCCAGGACCTTCTGTCATTCTTCTCCTCTTGGACACGATGGCCTGTCTGGGTGGCCCCCCAGGCGGCTGCAGCCTCTGGGCTACCAGGCTGAGATGTGATTCTTCCCTGGGGGCTGGCCAGTAGCGAATGCTGTGGTATTGATTGGATTCCGGTTCTTCAACATCTACAATGTCAGTCAGAGGTGGCGAGGGAAAGGTTTTGAAATTTTTATTCTTCTGGAGATTGTTCTGGGTTGCTGAGGCCCAGGAGAAACTTTAGACCAAAGAATCAGATGGAATGAGGCAAACATAAGTTTTTAGGGTCAGCTGAGGTGAGAAGTGTGTTTGCCCAGAAACAGCATGAAGGCAAGCAACCAGTGATGGTTTGTCTGGGAATAAACAGCCCATATTTTTACGTCTTGTTAAAAAAACCCCACTTGTCTCTTCCTATATCCAGAGACTGTTTTAATATGGGTACATTTCAGTCTCAGTAATGCCCAAGACTTCTGCCCATTGGACAAATGAATGTTTATTTCAGCCCCCAAATATCCTTTTTTATAAAATGCACTTGAAAGAGCTGAGCTACAGTAAAATCCTTACTCTTTGTCCACTTAGAAAAATCAGCTGGGTTGGGAAGATGGCGCACTGGTGCGGAAGGAAATACACGGACATGATCCAGGGGCGGGCTGGTGAGAGGGCTGAGTGCAATATAAAGCAAGACTCATGGCTGCCCACACACCCAGATGTCGCCTCTTCAGAACCCCCTGCCTCTCTAGTGGAGCCAGACTCTACCTCTGTATGGCGTTATCGTCAGCTTCCCTCTCCAAGAGGAAAAAAATTCCATTTCTCTCCAAGAGAAATTAGATTTTAAAACACTCACTCTCAGGTGATTTGCCTTATCAGTAGTTTCTTCATCACGTCTCCTTAATTAAGATACAATGTCATTAAAGCAAGGTCCGCCAAGTGTCCTACTTCATGCGATGAAGAACTCGATGAACTTAGTGCCCAAAACTGCTTCCAGTGCCATCAAACTGGGTAAACGGCTGGTGCATAGCCCTCAGGCACATGAGGAGGGTGAATGGGGATCTGCACTGAACTCATCACCTCTGAACCCCGTAGGAGGAGGGAAGGCGCCAGGCTTCAAGCAGGTGGTATTTAGGGAGCCCTGGGGTTGACTTAGAAGGTCCTGCTGAATGTGGCAAGCTGGAGAAGTTGGAAAGGATCATAGACTTTAGCACTGGAATCGTGTTTCAGCGGGTGACGCATATCCCCTGGGGTGGGAGGATTCTTAAACAGTGAGATCCCTAAGCCCCAGGGCCCAGTGATTTGACTTGGTAGATCAGGAAATTTGTCTTTTTACAAGTTAGTCAGGTGGATGAAGGGCAGAAGACCCAAGAAAAGTCTGTTCCTCTCCTCCCGAGGACTCCATGCACCATCAGAGGCCATGTAAGATAGCCCGATCTCTTTCCTGCTCTGCATTTTAGACATGATTTCCCAAAGGATGCCGGACATCCTACCAGGGCAGAGCTGAACATAAGTGTCATGCCTGATGACTAGCACATTCTAGGAATGGTATGCCACAGTCTGCACATAGAGAGGTACAAGGGTAGCATCCTTAGACACGGTAGGATTTATTTCTTTTCAATTACACAAGTAATATTTCTTTTCAATTACACAAGCTATTTTAATTATAATGGCACAGTACTATTATATCCCACTAGAAAAGTTCAAACAGCAGAGAGGATGCCAGTGACCTCATGGGTTTCCTCACCCCATCCCAGGGCAGATCACCAGCAATTATCAGTGTGGCAACTAAACTTCACACATTTTTTCCTAAGAAGTTATATACATGTCTGTGCTAATAGAAACGTACAGATTTGTACCGTCTTGCACAGAAGCTATGTGATTTGCTATTATCTTAAGCAATCTAACTTGATTAATTTCAGCACAGAGATCTATCTACCTTACTCTTTTCAACTGCTGCATAGGATTAGATAGTGTGTAGTTCCACAACTGATTGATTCATTCCCCTTCTGAGCCATTTCTCTTTTCCCAGGACCACAAACCCTGCTGAAGTCTCCAAACTGCTTCTTGTCCATCCTTCCAGAAGCACTGACCAAAATGGTTGTCAGCAATTTGTAATTTACCTTTTTATTTTCCGATTATCCATAATTATGGTTAGCCTTTTGGTATCCCATTGTATACAAGAGGATTACTGTATACGGTAACTGTCACTTGTAAAATTTTTGTCTTTTTGGAATTTGTAGTAATTTCATTTGTGACAAACTTCTAATGACCATTCATTTGCATTCAAAAAGAAGCAAAGTTCTACACACACACACACACACACACACACACACACACACACACACACACACCTGAGTCTTATTATTTGTCCTGCAGGTCCAGCCCTATTCTTAGGTAGCTTCTCTGCTGGAAAATATCTGGAACACATCCCTGAGGTATTATCAGCTCACGGAAGTCTAGTTAGGGTCGCATGAAGAACAAACCTAAAAGACCCAAGGGAGCGCGTGTAGGAGGACCATCAACTGCCAGGGTGTCTGTCCTCTGTGCCTCCTGCCTGTCTTCTCATCTGTAAAGTGGGCTAACACGGTTCAGGGCTGTGGATCAACATGAGTCGGGAGAATTGAACAACAGCTGGTAGGTGATGAGACTTCTATGTGCTTGTATTTTAGTACAGGGGATCTAAGGAAATACTTTGGTGGAGGGCTGGCCTCAGTAGTCTCCAACTGCTTTGCGTGTAGGAGGACACACTAATTAGAACAGGAAATGACACCTAAGAGGAACACATATTTCCATAACGATCTGGCCTTACTCTTCTTTGCAAGGCAGCCAGGACCCAAAGCATCATGGGCCCTTGGACGTGTCACTGAATGACAAAAGAAAAGGGGAGCTGACCCCTAGACTTGTACAGTAAAGGAGACAATAAAGGGAACTGCAGGCTGCAATCTCCTGTGGTGGCAGGTAGCGGAGTATCGCTGAGTAAAAGGTGCTATGATATGAGATTTCCTAAGTTCTATAAAGCACGGCGCCTGAATACCAGCTGGATAAGATCTATTCTGTGAAGCTGTACTCAAAAGAGGTGACCTCACCACTGAAGAACTGCTTATTTTGCTCTTTTTTTAAAAAGGGGCCCTCTGTTAAAATTTTCTTCAGCATCACAGATTTAAACTTGGACTATATTACAAGACCTCTTCTCTGAAAACAAATAAGGCTGGCTTATACGAGAGACAAGCTAGCTATCAGTTTAGTAGACAAAGGTGTTGTCTCCATCTTGCAGGAAGATTACATTATTTTCTTAGCTCATCTGTACATGTTTTGCTTTATCAGAGTAGCAAAAATCTCTAGTTAGCTTGGTGCTTTATTTTTTCATTCTCTAGAGAACACTGATTTTTGTACACTGAACACAATGATATATACCAGTAAGACAAAACTTTCGCTTCAAGAAAGATCAGTAGAAGTACAACAGCGTGGCTGTAACAGTGTATTTATTAAAATATGCCATGATCATAAAGCCCAGTGAGCACACAACAATCTCATCCGATGAACCAGCTACACCTTAGAGATCTAGTGTTTTCTGCCGGTGATTAACACATGTAAGCAATGACATGGATCAATCATAATACTTCCGAAATGTTCATTCTTCATCAGCTGACCCTCAAGTAAATCAGCAATACTATACATGACAAGGATAAAGTCCAAACTTTGTTGAACAGAAATGTTAAGGGGAAGGAAGAATGCTGAGAGGCAGCACACGTGGATTCTTGTCTGGACGGATGTTCTGGACTATGAATCCTTCACTTTTAAAATTAGAGAGTTGATGGGATGGTTCTTGAAGATCTTTCTAGGTTGAACTTTTCGTGATCCTATGATTCACATCACGTTGTAAAATGAAATCTCTAGCAACACTGACTTTGGCGGTTGAGCTAAGTCCAGTTCTGCTGACATGAATACAGTGAAGGGGTTCCTTGGGTCTCCATCTTCTGAGCCCCAACACCCCACAACCCTCTAATCAACAAGCAGCAATAATCAAAGCCTTCAGGAGGTGAACAAGCTTGTCCACCACAAGACACAAACAGCATAGGAGTTTTAAAGACCCCCAAAATCATGGTCATGAAGAAGAGCTCTAACGGGAGACGTAGAGGGCAAAGCCACACACACTCTTTGGTACATGTCAGAATGACACAGTGTTCACTCATGGAGGAAGGTGGGTCCGTGTATGTTAACTATAATGCTTCATTCATTTGCAGCTGTTCTTTGCGAATATGCACAAAAATATACACAGTTAGAATTTTATCAATACTAAGTATGAATTCAAGGTGAAGACGTACCTGGGAGGTGATTTAGTGTAAGCTGGGACGAGAGGTTGACTGTTGTTTCAGGGGGTGTGATTCCATAGGAAGGAAGAAGTTGGGGTTCTTGTCACTGGAGTTGGCTTCTACTCCTAATCTGAAGTCCTCCTCTTTCAGACAGTCACAGAAATTGAAGGTGCCCACGCCCCTTTGAGGGCATGGCATCCCTCCCCAACTTCCCTTACCAGCTGGTTCCTTCTGTTCTGAAAGACTGAGACTTTTTCTGTCATGCCGAGACTTTTTCTCTTTTGATCTGAGGCCTAAATTTGCCTTTATTTCTTCCTAATATATCACTGTAATTCCTATCTTAATTGTATTTCTGTAATGCAGAATATTTAACTATGATTTGCATCAGAAATTATTCCAACCCAATAAACGTGAATGTGCAAAGCAAAAAATTACTTTAAAAAATCAAGATCTTGTAACAGACATTATCTACATTAGAGAACTAAGCTACTTCCCATCGGACAGTAGCCATTCCTCTAAGCCGGGGCGTGAGCCTCAGAACACTGCTCGCCACCCCTAACCCACGCCCCTTTCCAGGAAACACAGCTCCTCTTCTCTGTGGCCACCTTCGGGGGGCTGAGTCATGTACCCCTTTGCAAGGGGTCTCTGCTCCTGAGACTGAAGAAGGGACAGGAGTAGCCACACATTTTCTTGAGTTTCGTCTTTTTATAATTTGTGGAGTGGATTGATTTTTGCCTTCTGAGATGCCAACTATTTTTTTAATGTTTTATGTCTCAAAATGTGCTCCCCAAGCTGCACAGCCCCCTTCTGCAGAATCACTGAGAGCAAACATGATTTCTGAAGTGCTATTTATGATAAAGCCCGATAGCTAATTATGAGGAAACGGTATCAATTCCAACACAGAAAGAAATTGTATGGTTGAAAAACAGTACACGAGAGAAGGATATTATAATGCTGAATATATTCTGATGACTAACCCAACTTATTTAAAGTTTTTACTTGAAAACTAATGCAGAGACTTGTTTTTAAAATGATCTGCTGCAGCTACCACATGCATCTCCTCTACAGGTCAATTTTAGTAACAAATTATATTGCTTTCCTTTGTTAAAATAATGTTTTCTTCAATTGTATGAACTACAGAGTCATGTAATTGTATGACTCATAATTCCATGACTCATTTCTACTCATTCTCAGATATTTAGAAACAGAAATTTTAGATTTTTCTAAATAAATGTTTATCAGTTTCTACCTAGTGAAGCAACTTAGCACAGAATCTACCTGTTCCATGGAATCCCCCCATCACCGATGTTTCTTGGACTGGTGCTACTATAATAGGAATATAAAACAGCCATGTCTGTTAAGTAAAACCTCAAATTTTTCCAAATGCCGAAAGAGTGAAACATCTGTACACCTGGAAAGTAGAATGATGATACATTCACAACTTTTAAAAACAGCTTTGGAGAAAATAGGATGTATCTATTCCCACCTTTTAAAAAGTGATTTTCTGTGCTTATGCTAAGTAGACTGGAAAGAGAAAACAGAATTGGCCTACCCAGAATCTATGGCAAAGGGCTTCTATCAAATACTTCAAAGCTGTGGAGGTTTCCGCCCCCGTAAGGCACAATAGCTTCACATTTTGCACCAGTGACCTCAGGAAACGCTGACCTCAGGGAAGTCAGTATTCTGCATCTATGCGTTTTGCGATGCTGTTGAGCTGGATGTTTGAAGTTCCTTCGTATATTGTACCTTAAACGAAAGGGGGCGGAAGGAGCAATTAGGATGGCCCAAAGTCGAGAGCCTGCAGGGAAACAGCTCAGGTGCGTCAGCACAGCTTTTGCTGTGAACCATGACTAGTCACCAGCCGTGTCCCCGGGACAGGGCGCTATTTGACAGTGATTCTACCTATGAGATGACCCTTTTCTGTTTGGTTCACAGATTTCCAGAATGAGTATTGGAGAGTGGAAGCTTTTTGTGTCTCGACTCAGTGGACAGCCAGGCTTGGCCTGAGGAAGAGCAGCCCCAGGAGCGCCCGGGTGTCCACTCTCCTGTCTGCCTGTGGCGCGGCGGAGCCCCAGGGCTGACAGCCACTTAGCCTCTGGAATCAGACCGAGACACGTCAAAGAACGGCATTAAGCTACACTCATCAGAAATATTAACATATTTAGTAAGAGAAACATTAAGACAGTAAATTTGTTGTGATTTTGCTAAAAGGTCTGTCAAGGCATTTATAAAGGCAATTTGATGGTTTTAAAATGATACATGCACTTTTTTAAAGGGCGAAGAGGCCGAGAAGAAAGCCAATAAACATACTGATGAGACTGAGACCGCCAATATGAAATCAAACAAATACACCCGCCCACACACCTAGAAGGGCAAAACGACATGAAATATAAAGCATCTGTTTACCGATCTTGGCATCCCGGAAGTATTTTTCCACAGGGTAATCTTTGCTGTAGCCGATGCCTCCCATCCACTCAACGCATTTACTCGTCGTGAATCCCGCGATCTACCAGAAATAAATAGCACGTCACACCGGGGCCACGGGGCTCACGCGCCCTGCGGATCCGGAAGCAATAGTTTCAGCGACGCAGACTCACTGTTACTGGTGAGTGAAGCACTAAGGTTACTGTGTAAACTACAGCTGTCCCTTTAACTCCTTCATACCATTTACATAACATGTCCTAGTAGCTCACAAAGTCCCTGTTTTCTTAAGAAAACCGGGGCAGTGTAGACTCATACACTTGCTAACATGTACTATTTTTGCAGCAAGTATTTTTCAAGAGCCTCCTTTATATTGTGGTCCCGCCAGCCACCTGGGTGGGCAATGGTGGGGAGGGGTCCGGCCCTGCCCTTCTGGTGGAGGTGGTGGTTTGGAGAGACGAGGTTGTCCCAACAATCAGAACGTGAAAAGCCATGGGACAAACAAGGGCTGGATGGGGACTGCGAGGAGACGACAGCTTAGCTGAGGACACGTGGGGGTCCAGGGGAGAAGGCTCATCAACCTTGAGCAGCTGAGGGCTGGTGGGGCTGATGGGACTGGGACCAGGGGATCTGGGCAGCTGCAGAAGGAGCCCAGGGAGGCAGAACCCTGGTGACTGAGCACTTGGAATAAGCAATCCCCAAAGAGGCCACATGCTAGTCCCCAGACACTAAGCATGCAGGTCCCTTCCAGGGCAGTAGGGACCAGCAGGGCCGGTTAAGTTAGATTATGTTGCAGTAGGAAGTGATCCTGGATGATCAGGGAAGGCCCTATGTCTTCAAGGACCCTGGCAAGGGAAAGGCAGCAGAGGGTAAGACTCAGAGAAGGTCACGTGACCATGGAACAAGAAGCCTCCAGACGGCCAGCGCGTGCTCACTGTCAGCTTGGAGATAAAGGAAGGGGCGACGAGGCAGGAGATACATGTGACCTTGGGAAGCCATAGGAAAGCAGAAAAGAGAAGGAAGAGGGACTCTCTCCTGGGGACCCCCGAAGGGCAGTCTGCGGACCCCACTGACACGCGCTTCTGACTTCTGACCTCGGACCTGGGAGATGCTCAGACTATTGTTTTTGCTACTAAATTGCTGGTAACTTGTTAACAGCAGCCACAGAAATGAATATCAATGTTGATCCCTTGGCTGTGAGAAGCAGCTGAAGAGTTTTGAGTCGAGAGTTACATGAGCTCGTGGGCACCCTGAGGGGCACTGCGCTGCGAGCAGCAGGGGTCCCACGGGCGGTCAGTGAGGTGACTGTGGACGTCGGGTGAAGAAATGTTGCTGCTGGGCCAGATGGGCAGCAGTGGGCAGGGGAGAGTCACAAATCCAAGAGTTATCTGGGCAAAGGATCCTCAGGACTAGATGCGAGGCGGGAGGGGGAAGCAGGTGTCAGCGCCATGGGTGGAGCTCCCAGCTGGAACTCACGAGGCTGATGGCGATCACACTTGGGGACCGAAGAGGTTAAGTGAAGACACGGAAAGGATGAGACATGTGGGTGAGGGGGTGTGGCGGGGGAGGCAGCCGCCTGTTGATCAGGACACGTTCTCCGGCCAAGGTCTAACCCAGGGAAGGGCGGAGTGGGAAGATAGCCTTGGGGGCTTTTATTTATATCATCTCCCACAGCATCACCCAACCCGGAGCCATGGCCTTGCTGCTATCCTTCAGAGAAGGGTCCTCCGGGGGGTATGAGGGGTTTCCCACTGGAAGTGGGTGATTCCATTACTATTTAAGATCCAGTGAAAACACCGCGAGTGCAGAGAATGAAACTATGGCAGCTTTGCTTTTATGCTTTCACTTGTAGGAACTAGAAATTCCATGTTCTTTTCCTTGGAAAACTGCTCAACCAACTTTCCCAAGAGAAAAGGTTCATACATATCAGCTGGGAAAAAAGAGAGAATTGCAGGTTTTGCTTGTTTCTTTACCTCTGATGCATAATATTTGGCCATAGATGCTTCTTTAATGAACGGTCTCCCAGCTTCTAGGAGCCTCGCAGCGTTGTATGTCAGTAACCGGGCCGCTTCCAGCTGGGTGGCCACATGAGCCACTTGGTGCTGAAGCCCCTGCAACAGTCAGATGCAAGCTAGAAAATCACAATTCCCAAAACAGCTCATCCTCCAAGCCCTGCCTGGACAGGGGTGAACAGACTCAAGTAACAACCCAAAGGAAATTCACATCTTTGTGAATTTGTAGAAATACTTTAAATCTGTGACCTAAAATGAAATACTACACAACTTGTAATGTTTTAGACACATTTCAAAGTTCATGGAATTCTTCACAGTTGTCAAGATGTAAAAGACAAATGTCACAAACTTAGGCTTAAAAATTTAACTGTTACATTTAATAATTACTTTCAACGCTTTTTAATGATCAAAACTGAGCTTAAACAAAGTCCCAGTGAAGTCAAAATTTGAATAGATTCTTTGTTTGCTTGAATTAAGAAAATGTAGCCTCAAGGCATTAAAACATATTAGCTGCAAAGTAATGACAGGATATTTGAAGCACCAATTCTTTCTTCAAGTAACTTTACTAAGGTGATTCATTGCCATAGCCATAAATAGGTACCAGTTTCTTTAGGGCTACAGAAAATAGAATAACTATCAAATAACCACCCTAAAGAAATTACTACCACTCTGAAATTTGAAAGGGTGATTAGACATACACTAAATCTTGGCTCAAGAAAGAAATGCATGGAATATGCGTATTAGCAGTTTGCAATTACAGACCATTTCCTAGAAGAAAAGGCATAGATAAGTGTAAGCATATGCTTGGGCAGATATATATATTTTACATGTGGGCATATTTTTTGGTGTCTGGTTCTATGAGTTTTAGAGGTGCAGCAGTGGTTTACATCTGACAAATCATGGAGCATCTACTTACTACGACAAGTCTGGGCTACACGTCCGCTCACTGGGCTGAGCAAAGGAGACATCACACAAAGGAGACAGAACATTACGTCAGAACTCCTTGTTCTCAGGACTTACATGGTCCAGCCAGGGACAGAAAATGAAATAATTATGACAACGTGGGATGAAAGTCCGGGAACACTTAAGGCAATGATTCATATTTTCTGCTAAAACTTAAAATGCTGCTGTTTCTATGTCTTTAATACACCTGCAATCTACTCTCGGTATACGGTGTGAGGGAAGGATCCAGTTTCATTTTCCCCATGAGGAAAGACTATTCTCACTCTGGGATCTGCAAGGCCATCTCCACCACCTATCAAATTTCCACACATGCAGGGGCTACTCCAGGCCCTTCTATTTTGTCTATTTATATGCAATACCACTATTCTAGAAACTGGTTAAGGCTTGTGTTATGGAATGCAGAGCTTTCAATTATTTTTGAAGATGACATTCTGTTCAGTTTAACCTTCTCCATCCTTGTGGTTGACTCCAATGACCCAATCAGGCTCCACAAGAGGCAAAGGGGAGGGAGCCTGGCCCGACTGCTGCCCTGTAAGCCTCACCACCCCTGGATACTGCCGCCCGACTGCATGTGAACACCGGCACAGAGAACATGTCCATGAATCTGCAGGATGGGCAACTGAAAGAAACCAGGGCTGAGAGGCCTGGTGCTACCTGCCCTGGGAGAGCTGCACACCAGCGGGGAGAGAGTGACGCATGCAGAGCAGCACCAACTTACTGTCATACGACAAAGCAGAAAAAACTCTCCTGACCCTGATCAAGGCTTCATATAGACATGAAAATTTAACAAGACTGCTTTTAAAAACCAAATTTCTGAAAGTTTTCATCACCCTTGCTGGCCCCTTTAGAAACGTGCTGACTGTGTATCTGCGCGCCTGACTCCTCCCCCACACGGTATATACGGGAACACGGCTTCCGTGCACAAAGGAGATCAAAATCCTCCCTCAAAACTGCCCCCACATTCTGTCCCCTTTGCTGTGATCTACACAGGGGCTGGCTCGAGAAAGCACGCCAGCATAATGAATGAAAATGAGGCCACAAGCTGAGACAAAAAAAGCTGTAGTTTAGACACCTTGCTAGCTGTATGGCTTGGGACCTCCTCGCTGTGTGCCTCAGTTTTCCATGTGTGAGACAGCAGGTGGACTGCTCTGCTCAGTCTTCCTGGACCTCAGAACTCACTGTGCACATGTGTAGCCTGGATTTTCTACCCACGTCCCCGTGTGTGTGCTCAGGATGCCCAGTCACCATCCCACAACCCCAAAACAATGCAGCCTGTCACAGGCTGTGAGACACGGTTTGGAGCCAAGCTGCTGAAGGCCAGTTTCCCAACACATTAATGACTTAGTCTGGATTTTTAGGTGATATGCCTGGGAAGCTGCCACCCTCAGCGCTGCTAGCCTGGCAAGACCTCGCCAAGGGTAGGAAGCATGCACTGCCACCCAAGAGGCCCGACTGTCTGGGGAGCTGCGAGGAGCCATGTCACTGGACCAGGCAGCGCTTCCCAACATGCCCTGCAGAGAGCATCTCATCTGCACTGACTGCAGCCAACTGAGCCTTCTAGAAAACAGATGTGGCACTGAGGAGTCCCGGGGGCTCGGCTGGAGCAGAGACTCCTGCTCAGTGTTCGCATTTGCCGAGCGCACGTGAGCCTGGTCGTATGCCAAACATCATGCAGCCGCTGGACTCAAAAGCACCCTGGAGAGCAGGGAGGACTATGTTTATCTGACAGACCAGGCAGGGGCGCCAAGAGGTGAGTGGACGCACAAAGGCCTACAGCTAAGAAGCAGGGCTGGGGTCCAGGAAGCGTGACAGCCGACCGCAGGCCCTGGGCTCTGGAAGCAGCGAGGAGTCGGCCTGAAACACTCACCTGAGGTAAACTGGGTGGCACAGGCGTACCATGGAGCCCAGGAAGGTCACTACTGTGCCCATCAAGGTCAAGGTATCCCAAGCACATGCCCCAAGACCTATTCTTTCCTTCTCTGAATCTGCCCCGTTAAAACGCCTGGGAGGGGACGCCCTCCCAGCCCTTCCTTCACAGGAAGGCAGCAGAGTCCAGCATGGTAGAGAGATACTAAGGTTACATACCTGGAAATCAAACAGTCTTTTGCCAAATTGTATCCTTTCTTTAACATATGGGATTGTGTAGTCAAAACAGCCTTGTGCCAGTCCCAGCATCTGTTAAAAAAAATCAGAATTCTTATTTTTATGCTTTCAATTATTAACGTTATAAATTCCTTTGAAGGCAAACTAAATAGTTAAGGTAGAGAAGGAAGCAAAGACACCACGCAGTGGGTGTGTGTCAATAACACACCTTTACCCACTGCATTTGTAGGATTTAACTCCTAGTAATTGGCAGAAGGGAGTGGATTCCCATGAATGAGAGTGTATTTAATTCTAGCACTGAGTAAATCTTCCAACCAGGTCACGCTCACAACTGTGCTACTTTTCAGGAAACTTCTTTAAGCTCTTATTTTCCAGGTAAAAAGTGAGTCACAGGTGGGGTGGACCTCTCCTGTCTCGCCCGCTGCTCCCCTCAGCAGTGTATTTCAGTAGATCCGGTGAATCCTCTCACCCACTGCACCTCTGGCCTACACCCAGTTCTTATACCAAAAAAAAAAAAAAAAAAAAAAAAAAAAAGAGCCACAGAATTTTTGCTCAGAATCAGCTTCAATGACTATAGAATAGCTCTTTCTAGTCCTTCTAGAAGCCAAAAGTAGAAGGCTACTTTTTAACCTATCTAAAAAGTGCTTTGGTGGAAAGGGCATTAGGATCTAAGGGAGCAGGGTTCTAAGGGTTTCAACCCTGGCTGCACATTAGAATCATCTGGAAAATTTGGTAATAAAAAGTCCCAATGCTGGGACTGAATCCAAACCTTGGGAGTAGAGGGGTGAGAGTGGCCTGAGGCTTAGCATTTAAAACCTCCTTAGGGCAATGGACACACAATTCTGGTCCAAATAGCCCTTTATACACTGAAGAGTAAACAGCCAGACTCTCAATGCTGACCAATCTCCATGTCTACGGAATGATTCACGCTTAGAAATGGGTTCTAATTAAAGAGCTTCTGCACAGCAAAAGAGACAATAACAAAAACAAAGAGAAACCCCACTGACTGGGAGAACATTTTTGCACCCAACACTAATGATAAAGGACTGATCACAAAAATCTGCAAAGAGCTGATGAGACTCAACAACAACAAAGAAAATAACCCAGTCAAAAAATGGGCAGAAGAGCTAAAAAGAAACTTCTCTGAAGAGGAAATGCAAATGGCCAACAGGCATATGAAAAAATGTTCAACATCACTTGCCATCAGGGAAATGCAAATCAAAACTACCATGAGATACCATCTCACACCAGTGAGAATGGCACATATTAAAAAAACTAGCAACAACAAATGTTGGTGAGGGTATGGAGAAAAAGGAACTCTCCTGCACTGTTGGTGGGAGTGCAAACTGGTCCAACCACTATGGAGAGCTGTGTGGAGATTTCTGGACCTACTAAACATAGAGCTTCCATAGGATCCAGCAATTCCACTCCTAGGTATTTACCCAAAGGACACAGAAACATCCATTCCAAAGAGCACCTGCACCCCTATGTTTATAGCAGCACTGTTTACAATAGCTAAGCTTTGGAAACAGCCCAAATGCCCAAAAATAGATGCCTGGATCAAGAAGATGTGGTCCATATACACCATGGAATATTACTCAGCATTCAAAAAAGATAAACACATGCCATTTGCAGCCACATGGATGGCACTGGAAGGGATCATGCTCAGTGAAATAAGCCAGAAAGAAAAAGAAAAATACCGGATGGTCTCATTCATAGCAGGAATCTAGAAAACTTAAATAAGGGACCAGGAAAATGAATAACTATAAGAAAGTGAAACTCAAAATCAACAAAAAACTATGAACCAGAGACACTTTTTGGGGGGTGGGGGGCGGGAGGGGAGGGATTGGGGTCAGAATGGGGGGTTGCAATTGTATGGGGAATATAAAAATAAAATTTATTATAAAAAAAAAATAAACAATCATGCCTTGCCTTAAAAAAAAAAAAAAAAGAAATGGGTTCTAAACTTCAATATTAGGCAGCCATTAAATCACTATCTAATTATGTCAAACTATGTAGGTTTTAGGAAAAGGGAAAAAAAATCAATAGTTAAAGCTTTTGGAGAAAATACCCACAAACATCAATATTTCATTAGTGTTCATTCACATTTTCCTGTAACCTTTTATTCTGAACTTTCTGGAGAATAGAATATTATGCTAAAAATTAAAGAACAGAAGAAAAAACACTACCCAAAAAGCAAATTAAGAGTGAGGCAGTGACTCACTGCACTTCCAGCTATGAGCTAAGATGGTGTCACTACACCTTGGAGCTAAATTTCATCATGTGTTGATAACACACTGCTAGGACATGAAAACTGAACTGATCAGCTGCCAATCAAAACACGCTCTTCCACCTCATTTGTTTTCATGACAAATACAGAAAAACTAAGTTCTCTCTGACTGCAGAGTTTTGAAGCTGGTGCCTCCAGTTCACTGTTCTACGTGCCTCTTTCCCTACCAGGCACCCACAGCACTAACCAAGACACAGTAATCGCCTGACCTTAACTTTTAATTTGGTTATAACTGCAGAGCAAAGCCCGGGCTGTGCATTTTACTGCCAGAATATCTGTGTCATTCTATGTCTGCTGACAATGAAATCTAGCACTGCGGTCCTTAATGCCACGTGGGTGGCAGCTGAATCACACAGAAAACCTTCAGGAAGAACAAATAAGGGCTTCTTTTTACTAACAGTTTACCTAGCCTATGGGGAACAAAGTAAGAGCAGAAAGAAAAAAATCTACAGTGACACTACATTAAACTACTGCACTAGCTAACACATGGGACATCTTCAAAGTCTGAAAGCTATCATTTTTGGTTAGATATTTACTGGCTAAAAAGAAACAAATATATCCTACAACATGATACCGTATCTAACCTACAACACACTATAAAAATATAGCAGGCATTAAAAGAGGCAACCTTGGTAACTGAACAGTTCTCATCTTATACATGTATTTAACATCTTATACAAAATAACGCTATTATTTTCAAGTACCTCACACAAAATGGCCTGATTTTCACATGCAAAACACTGAACAATTCTTTTATTGTCTCCATATTACAGACTCTGACTACATGGTATTTATTCTTAATTTTAAAAATTTCTCCCAGAATGACTTTCATGTTTTGAAAAGTTGATGTTTGAAAAAAATGCCAGATTTAATTTACAATGTATTTTAGAAAATTATCCATCCAGGCATTGGAGGATACTTTACTGTTCTCAAAGCAGGACAGACACCACTCAGCCATTGTTTGCTTCTCAGGACATTATGTAATTGACCAAAGTGGCATTTTAAAGACATCTCAGAAGCCACGCCTTCCCCTCCTGGAAGGGAAGGGCACCACCTTGTGTTCACAAGTGGCCACTATTCACTGGCTTTCCGGCACTTTTTTCTTTTTACATTTTCTGTTTTCTTTTTCTTTTTTAAAGATTTATTTATTATTTATTTATGCATACAAGAGCTGGGGTACAGGCCAGAGGTGTGGGGGGTGAGAGGATTGACCAGAGACAGAGTGGGGAACAGAACAGACAGACTGACGAAATACACTGCTGAGGGGAGCAGGGGGCGCGACAGGAGAGGTCTGCTGCACCATGTGGGTTGCTCCCTGGCTGGCCAGGGATCGAACTCATGTTGCAGAGGCTGTGGATTGCTTCATAGTGCGGTGCTTAACCCCTTGTGCCACCAGGGAGGCCCCTTCTTACATTTTAATTGGCTGAGGCCATGGAAGAATCAAATGGCAAAATTTGACTAACCTGTGCAGCAATTCCTATTCTACCTTCATTAAGACTCCCTATGGCGTACTTGTACCCATGTCCAATCTGCCCCAGGATATTGGCTTCCGGAACCTGGAAAGAAAAATACGCAGTTATTTCTCAGTTGGATACATGCTTCATTCTGGTTATGTATTTTTTTTAAATAATTTATTGACATATATATTTATATCACTGTTCATTTTTTGACAATATTTGCTTTCTCCTCTCAGGTGTAGTCCCCATAGAATCCCACCACCCATTCACCCGTGTACCATCATCATTTTCCCATGTGCTCTTCCCTCCCTCGTTTTGATCCCTCTCCCTCACCCTCTCCTGAGAATGTCTCTGTTTATTTTGTTTTGTTGTGTTTTTTATTATTATTTTTTCTCTGATCCCTTATTTGGGTCCTCTAAATTCCTCCTATTATGCATTCTTAAGTGTGCACATACTCCTAATTTGTGTGATATTATTACTGCAGGTAGTACTGATGAAAGCCCAAGGAAACTCTCTGCTAGTTCTCTGGGTCTCCCTCCAATGTGCCCCCTGAGTGGCTCTCAGAGGGACGGGCTCAGCACAGACATGTAGTGACTAAATGAATCTAGCAAAAAGGCCTCTCCTGCAATTCATCAGTAACATAGCAATTTTCCCCCAGTCTTACCTGCCTGCTAGGTATGTTAGTGTGAGGTAACATACTAGAAATTAACAAAAACACCTATGAGTACTTGCTAAAGCAACAGCAGCAAAGCTTTCCTCCATTGAGATATCATCCCCATAAAAATCAAGTGAGGTGTGTGTGTACACGCGGGCACAAGAGAAAGGAGGAGAAAGGAGAGAAAAAACAAATTGCACAGTTCACTCATAATTTTTAAACAAGAAGAAAAATACACTCAGCTTTACAATATAGGCAGTTAGGAGAGGGAGTGGGCAGAATGGGGGAAGCAGAAAGACAGCAGGGGCCAACTGGTGAGGCTCAAATGACCTCTCTAAAGACACCTGTGAGCACTCGCTCAGCGTGAGCAAAAAGATCAAATTCTAACAGGAGGAGGAGAAAACCCACCTCAAGCTGTCCCCTCCAGGGAAGTTGTGAAGCTCAGTGGGCCCCGCTGGTTGTTTTCCATTCTCCCTGTGCAACGTCGCCACCTTGTGGCCTGTGTTGTAGCGCCATCACATTTCTTTGAAGCCCCATTTGGTGCATAAATACCAAGTTTATAATGCATAAAATTTTATAAAGGTTCACTAGTGTATAAATTATAATACATAAGTGGGATTCACCCTTGGCATTGTTCTGGAGGCCAGATGCTGGCAGGAATTTTCCACTCTTGGCCTCACTCTTGTGAAATGTATTGCACATTCAGCACCTCAAGCAAGAACCTATGAACGTTGCCCAAGTTCTACAAAATGCTCTCCCGTGCATGCTCAGTATTTTGACACCTTTTGTGCACAGCTCTAGGGCCACGCAAAGATTCCTTCCCAGCAGCCGCTTAGCAGAAGTGCTGCTTTACCCACCTTGACATTTTCAAATGTGAGCGGGCAGGTGGAAGAGGCTCTGATCCCCATTTTGTTCTCTGGTTTTCCTATTTGAAGGCCTTCAGTATCTCGGTCGACTATGAAGCAGGTAATTCCTTTATACCCCTACAAAGGAGACTCAGAATGTTGTTTCCACTTGGATCGATGAGATTCCTTGTTTCCAGAGAGTTTTTCAAAGTCAACAGAGAACTGAAAATGGATTTTAGTGATAACTACTAATGGACGCAGACCCACAAACGTGTCTGCATTACCCAACGAGAGTCATCAGAGGATGTGAGGCTCACAACCAACAACATGGCCATTCCTTACATTGTCAGAAACCACCATGGCTAGAAAAATGTTACTTACTATAAGATCATGAGAACTCCACCTTTTAAATTTTCTTTAATATGTTAAAGTTTTAAAATTTAATTCAATTAAATGCTACATTAGAGAAAAGACAAAGACAAATAATAAAATGTATTTTACCCTATTTCCAACTGAATACAATATTCTTTAAACACAAGCATAAAGTGGTACTTAAAGTCTTCATTATTAAACAGAAAATTTGAAATTCTACAAAATTAAAGACTAGTTCCCTACATGTCACATTAAGAAATAATTTTAAAAGGTCTTCCAGGTAATTAACTAATTAATTAATTAATTAAAAGGTCTTCTAGGTAATATTTAGGAGATTTAGTAAAAAAAGAGGATGAAAAGATCTTAATTTTCTAACATTTTCAGTACTGAGAATGAAAAATTTAAGACTAAGTCCTAAAAAGGGATAAGGAAAGATGAGGGGGACAGAGAGGGGCTTTGCAGACTCACAGCGGCAGGGTCCACGTTGGCCATGACCAGGAAGAGGTCTGCGTACTCGGCGCTGCTGATCCACATCTTGGACCCATTGATGATGTAATAGTTCCCCTTTTTATCAGCTCTGGTCTTCAAAGCAAATGGGTCGCTACCTGCGCTAGCTTCGGTAAGGCAGAAGCTTCCTATCTACATGTGTGAGGAAAACAATTCCAAGTTAATCTCAGTGTAACACTGAATGACACACTGCTAGGCCAAAATATTTGTCAATCAAATGTTTAGTTACTTTTAAAAGCCTGCGCTTATCGCCACAGTAATGGTATTTCGACAGTCTTAATTTCCAAAAATAGATGCTACTATTTGTCTGCCAGGTTTAAGGACTTAAGTACTCAATGTTAACTTTAATTAAATTGATTCTAATAATCGAGTAGAAGATACCTCCACTTAAAGGAAACTAGCAACCACGGTGTTAGAAAGATAATGGGGACAGAAAAATTATCTTCTTGTCTGGTGATTATTCTGTAAATTTCTGAGTGGCAAATGAGAGATAGAATGTACTTTTCTAGAAGCATCTGTTTACTGGGCATTGCTTGCTGAGTTAATGTTGCTCCATGGGGCCCTGGGGCGCAGAGTCAGCTTACGGCTACTTTCCTCCTGAAAATACGCCAGGTTTAGAAAAGATCAGATCCGCTCCAACAGCTCCTCTCAACTCACCGTTCCCGTGGCCAGCTTTGGCAGATAGGCAGCCTTCTGCTCCTGGCTTCCGTGTTTTCTGAACAGCGTGTTGATGATCGTGTTCTGGATGTCACAGATCAAGGCCACGGAGGCGTCCACCTTGGCCAACTCCTCTATCACCAGGATAGAGGAGAAAAAGGAAGCTCCTGTGCCTCCGTATTTTGTGCTGATTTCAATACCCATCAACTAAAGGAAACAAGAGAACAGGCTAAGAAAGCAATTTCCTGATGGGCCCATTTCTTGAAGAATAAGTTCCAAAAATCATAACTATGTAAGTTCTTAATTTTGGAATTGTCTATGTATATTTTCTTTTCATTCGGTATGGCTATTTTACTATGTTAGAAGGAACAAAAAAACCTATTATAGAAACAATGACTATTTGAACAAGATGAAGGGACAAGCTGTGGACACTCAGCAAATCTGTGTCGACGGCATGACTCCCTAGAAACATGCCAGGAGCTGTGGTTCAGGACAAGGACGCCTCTGCCTGCAGGGGACTTCCATGCTCATGCGGTAAAGGAATCACCAACTTGGGGGGTGGGGGGAAGTTACACACTGGAACTGTTTGTTTCTTTGTGGGAATCTAAAAATAAAAGTGCTCTGAAGGACAACGGAATAATGAGAACATATCTTACGTAATATAAATACATTCTGATGACTCATTGCTAAGAACTGCTGTTGCTGGCCAACACCAGAGTGGTGTTTTGGGGTGGTTTTTCAACACACTCCCCTTTATACTGATTTCAGTGTAATATGGAAACTGGAGGAAGGTACCTCCTCCTTAGTAAGAAGGTCGCGGCTTTCACGTGGCACAATCTCTTCTATCATGGCTCCTCTACCTCTGCTCTCTCAGCCCAGATAAGGGGCGGCTGCTCTGGGGCTGTTTCAGCATGTCTGAGTGGCCAGCAGGCAGCCACGATGGTATCTCCTACCAGCACGCTAGACATGGCCCGGGCACCCGGTGAAGCCAAAGGCTGGCGCAGTCTCGGCAGTAACTGAGCATTCAAAGGCCACTGAGGCTGCAGCGTGAGGGCTGCCTGGCCCTCCAGCCTTAATTGCCCTCCTCTCAGAAAGAGAAGGGTGTGTGTGTGTGCGCGCTTCAGCCCCAGCACTGTCAACAGGTCAGGGCAACGCTTCCTGCTTCCTCTCCGCCTTTCTGGAAGTGTGCCCAGCTGCAGTCTGGGTTGCGACTATGATGATGGAAGCTGACCGGAAGCTAAGCTGATGTGAAGGTAAACCACAGAGGGGAAGATGTGACGTGGTGAGAGCCAGCAGTGGCGCCCTAGAGGTCAGAACAGAGGGGCTCCCATGCCTGCAGCCTGCATGGCTCCTGATTGCATCTGGAGAAGCAGTTCAGGTGCAGTTTCTCTAAAAAGGCCACCGGTTCTATGCTGGCCACGACTTCCATCCGGGACTTCAGTGGTTGGCTGCAGGGCTGGACGTCGGGGTCAGGGGTCACAGGAGGCTGCGTGGCCGGAGCATGACTATGCCTCCAGCCGGCTGTCCAGGAGACACAAATCGGAGAGCCATGCCGTGCACCCGGCAGCCACCAGTGGCCAGATGACCCTGTCTACAACAACTGCTCCATCGGAGCACTGGGCAAACTCCAGCACCCCGGACTTCTCCAAAAAGCCGAGAGGGTCTGCAAACAAAGAAGGTGATGCCTGGCTGAGAAAAATGACTCATGGGTGCCGCTGGGGCCCCAACAAGATCCTGCTTTTCCAAGAGCTTCGCGGCTGAAAGGAAGCAGGCAAGATGAGGGCTGCATGTGGTGGGGAAAAGCTGGTCTCTTCACAACAGGAAGAAAGAAAAGCACCCAAGCAAGTGGAAAGGTTATTTTTCAAATGCAAACACGACATGTCAGCCAGGGCGCTGGAAAGAGCCTCTGGTTCTGGAATACCCTCAGTATTCAAAAGAAAAAATAACTATCACTTAGAAAGGGGAGCACTGGTGGGGGAGCACCAGCAGGTGAGTCAGCACTTTATAAATCCTCTCCTTGGAGCTTCCCTGAGGAGGCCGCCCCTCCTGCCTTCCCACCGCCATGCCTGCTCTTTTTCATGGATTGTCCAGACAATCACAGGCCTCCGAGACTTAACAAGCCAGAATGTGGTTGTCTAGGTGTTGCCTCTGCTTCAGAGCTGACCTCCAGGTAGAGATTCAGGTGGAATACGGCTCCAGGCGAAGCTTACTAAAGGTGGTTTCTTAATCTCAGTGTTGCTGAGCTGGGTCATTCCTTGTGTGTGTATGGGCGGAGGGGGGCGTGGGGGTGGAGTTGGGGAGAGGCTGCCCTGTGCACTGAGGGGTGTTCAGCAGCATCCCTGGCTTTGACCCAGTAGATAGCAGTAGCACCCCCAGTTTTGACAACCCAAAAACATCTCCAGACGGTGCCAAGTTTCTCTTTGCAGGGGGCAAAAAAACCCTGATTGAGTACCTTTGGTCTAAATAAATCACGCGCTCCTGCTTCTGACCTTTGACTTAAAAAGCACAGCATTTATAATTTCAAGGGTTAAAGAAGTTCTTTAAGTAGGACCTCAAGCTGAAAGGGAACACAGGCCGGGAAAGGCGAGTCCACCTCGCTATCACTGCAACCCCCCGGGGCGTGATGCGTGCACTGACACGGGCATGTGACAGGGAAGGACTGGGCACCACTTACCCCCTGCTGAAACAGGCCTTGTATGACTGACTTCTCCATTCTTGAATTTTCATCCATCGTGGAAACCAAAGGAGCAATTTTTTCCTGGGCGAATTTTGTAACTGTAGGAGAGATACTGATCAGTCTTTATTCTTTTAATAGGATGTGACAGTCTTTGAATATTCCTTTTTTTCCCAAAAAACTTAAAGTCAAAAAACTCCATTCACAAACTTAGATGACCTGTCCCCTTCCCCGCCATGTCACAGATCACGTTACTTCAGTGTGGCCCCAACTGGACCCGAGGAATACGGGGGTGAAACGGGAGGCCGACTCACCTGTGGTTTTTTTTTTTTGTCTTTTTTCTTTCTTTCTTTTTCCTAAAGATTTATTTACGCATATAAGAACTGGGGTACAGGCCAGAGGTGTGGGGTGTGAGAGAACTCACCAGAGACAGAGTGGGGAACAGAACAGATTGATTGAAATCCACTTCTGAGGGGAGCAGTGGGGAGACAGGAGAGGTCTGTTGCGCCATGTGGGTCAGCTCCCTAGCTACAGTGGCTGCCTAGAGCTTCATAGTGCTGCGACTTAACCCCTTAACCACCAGGAAGGCCCTCTTTCTTTCTTTTTTATTTTTTTTTAATAGAGGCATGTTTTATTTGTTTGTTTGTTTGTTTGTTTGTTTTGTTTATACAAGCACTGGGTACAGTCAGAAGCGCAGGAGGGTGAGAGAATTCACCAGAGCCAGAGCGGGGAGCAGAGCAGGCAGAAGGACCGAAGTACACTGCTGAGGGGAGCAGCGGGCGGCAGGAGAGGTCTGCGTGCCATGCGGGACCCTCCTCCAGTGGCCGGGGGGCAGCCGGGGATCGAACCGGGGCCGCAGAGGCCGCAGGCATCTTCGCAACCCAGCACTCAACCGCTGTGCCACCGGGGCGGCCCTCTTTCTTTCTTTTTAATGACACTTTATTATTAAAATTACTTTTATAAGAAGAACTGGGGGGTAAGCCAGAGGTGCGGGAGGTGAGAGGATCCACCGGAGACAGGAGAAGTCTGCTGTGCTATATGGGACAGCGCCCTGGTCGGGGACTGGACTCAGGCCGTCACGGTGGGCTTAATCCCTAGGCCACCAGAGAGGCCCCTCACCTGTGCTCTTTATCATCAGCTCCTCCTCTGTGAAGGTCTGCAGTGGGGCGGAGGGCAGCCCATTGCTGTTTTCTTTCAGGAGAGCTTCTGACTGGGAAGATTTGAGGACCCGGGGAGGACTCTGCCAAGAAGTCAGGCAAGTGGGGATGCTTCTTCTGAGCTACAGGAAGAGGAAGCAGGGAACACACAGGTAAGAGAGGCAGGCGGACATGGGTTCCTTTGGAAATAATCTTTCTTCCTCTTGTATCACCACAAGGGAACTAGACCAGATACACTTTAAAACAATGTCTTTTGAACAAAATTCCAAATCCCTCTGTTAGCTAAATGTCTCCTTCCTCCAGCGATGAGATGCTCTTGAGAAGCTCTTGAGAAGCAGTGTTTACCTTCAGGGAAACAGAACTTTCTAGATGGAACTCATTCCCCCAAAATGAATTTCCCATTTCACGAATTTCTGTGGTAGAGACAGCCGCGCCTGTGAGGTGTCGGGCACAGGGGCACCTGGGAGAGCAGGGGCACCTGCCCCCCAGACCTCCAGCGAGCCCGCAGGAGGTGCCTGCTTTGGTCTCCATGGCTCATTTTGGTTTTAGCCTCTCCTTCATAAGAGCCAGGGAGGCCCTGGAGTCCCTAAAAACTACTTTCAAGGCCTGGCATTTGAATATTTACTGGCACTGGGATCTTGGGTGAATTTTAACCACTCAGAGTCTCAGTTTCCTTCCCTATAAACTGCAGACAATCTAATCCACACCTGGAGGATTCATGAGACAGTTGGCATGTTGGGTGTAGCATGGCATCTGCCATCCAGGCCGAGCACCCTCATGTACCGCCCTTACCCCCAGACGCCCATGACCTCCTTAGGGGCGCAGGTATTGGCGGGAACCGGATTACCTTCAAGGAACTTTTCGGGAAGGGCTGTCTCCCTGCTGCAGGGGCCCAAATCCCTCAGCTTGCCAAATCTACTCAGCGACGGACTGGCTACAGTTTTGTTGGGGGAAGAAAGAGGCCACCCCATTTTAAACTCTCGTTATACCTTTCCGGCTTCATACTGTCTAATTCCATGATAGAGAAACAAATAGGAATCAGACTTTTTCTGAAGCTAAAAGCAAGCTAAGTGAAAGAAGTCAGTCTCAGATCACATATCTCATGATGCTATTTAAAAGAAATTTCCCCAATAGAGACACAGGCAGACAGAAGTTGCCTGGGGCTGGGGGTAAGCACCACGTGTGGTTGCCAAAGGGCACAACAATCTTGTGGGGATCTTAGAGATGTTCTGAAATTGGACCGTGGCGATCACCACACAACTCTATAAATTTACTGAAAATCACTGCATTCTGGACTAAAGAGTTGTTTTTATATTATGTAAATGATACTCTGACAAAGCTGTTCTAAAAAACGAGTGTTTCCCAGTGAGAATGGCACATATTAAAAAAACTGGCAACAACAAATGTTGGCGAGGGTGTGGAGAAAAAGGAACTCTCCTGCACTGCTGGGGGGAGTGCAAACTGGTCCAACCACTGTGGAGAGCTGTGTGGGGATTTCTGGACCTACTAAACATAGAGCTTCCATAGGATCCAGCAATTCCACTCCTAGGTATTTACCCAGAGGACACAGAAACATCCATTCCAAAGAGCACCTGCTATGTTTATAGCAGCACTGTTGACAATAGCTAAGCTTTGGAAACAGCCCAGATGCCCAAAAATAGATGACTGGATCAAGAAGATGTGGTGCATATACACCATGGAGTATTACTCAGCATTCAAAAAAGATAAACACATGCAATTTGCAGCAACATGGATGGCGCTGGAAGAGATCATGCTCAGCGAAATAAGCCAGAAAGACAAAGAAAAATACCGGATGGTCTCACTCATAGCAGGAATCTAGAAAACTTAAATAAGGGACCAGGAAAATGAATAACTATAAGAAAGTGAAAATCAAAATCAACAAAAAACTATGAACCAGAAACACTTTTTGGGGGGTGGGGGGCGGGAGGGGAGGGATTGGGGTCAGAATGGGGGGGTTGCAATTGTATGGGGAATATAAAAATAAAATTTATTATTGAAAAAAAATAAAATAAAAAACGAGTGTTTTCCCCTTATTTAAGTAAAAATTAAAAGAGAAGGCGCTGGGCATCACCAGGTCCTGAGGGCAAGTGTGTGGTTGGTGAAAGGGTAGGGTCAGCAGGACAGAGAACCTATCCTATTAGTACACTGTCTTAACAGACCTGCTAACAGTTTTATTTGCTGAAAGTTTTACTGATAAAAAGAATGAGCCACTTTGTTTGAGCCGTTGCTCCTCTTTATTGCTTGTCCATCTCTGCAGTGAGTGCCTAGAAGGAGAAGTTCTGTTCTGGACACATCCGCAAATAAGCGGTGCTGGCCCGGCCAGTCAGAAGCACGCACACGTGTCCACTTTTCTAGCTAGTTTTCTTTCGTTTTGAGGATTGGAAGACAGTGTAGGACAAAGTTGGAAGGAACACTTTTTTCTTGTTGAAAGACAGGTTGGGACAGGCAGGAAATCTTTGGGCCAGGAAGAAGGAAAGGGTGGGGAGGTAATGAACAGAAGGGCCAAGAAGGGCCAGGAGAATGGAGATAAGGAAAGTCAACAGCATGGGACCCAGGCAGGGGCCGCGGAAGGAGAGGGTGTCAGCGGCACAACGAAGGAGACCGGAGAGCAGCAATGAGATAAGTGTGGGGGCAGTTCTGCTCCGTGGCTGATGGTGGAGTCTTGGATGGGGCACTCAATAGATATTCAAGAGCCAAAGAACGAGTCAAAATAGCAGCTGCAGTGCTGCTGAACGACCCAACAAATGGCCACACTCACGCAGCTCAATGGGGCGTGAGTCTTCGCTTCCCTGCCAGGCTGGAACAGCAGCAAAACCGGAAAGTTTGTCACTTGGCTACGGCAAAGCCTCCAAACCTTTCCTCTCTGAGGCTGGCTGCTGGAAGCCTCTCCAGTTCATCAGAGGCCCGCAACAGGCTTCTGGGAGATCAGCACAGTGGGGGCCGAAATCGCTGACCCAGGAAATGCTAAATCCCAAAAGCCGAATCCTCAAAAGCTGAATCCTGAACAATGAATCCTCAAACTCTGAATTGCGAACACTAAATAATCCGCAGCTGCTTCTACAGTCCCTTATATTTCTTATCAGTCGTTTTACCCCAAAATGTGATACCTTTTAGCATTTTCTCTGGGGCTATCTAGCCTCACTAGCAACCCCACTTCTAGGGAAGCTTCTGGTTTTAGAGGATTTGGAAGCAATTCGGGCAGGGGTTTGGAATGGTCTATTTGCATTTTTATGGATTCAGCACTCTTAATTCTGCCGTAGGTTCAAGAAGAAGCCCACTGGAATTCAGGCACTTCTGAGAAATGGGGGCTTTCACACTCCAGCATCTCAATTTCACCCATGCCTGCTTGCAGAGAAGAGTGCAGCTCGAGTTCAGAAGGTCAGGAAATTCTAAGAGCAGTTCTCCTTCGGAGTTAATTTTACATGACGCCTCAAGTTAAAAGCAGTTCTCATCCTAACAGGTTTGCTGTCGGGGCAGCGTCACTGGAAGGAAAGTGTGGTTTCTCTAAAAATGGCCTGGTGTCTTCTGGACATGTTTAAGCACAGATCTGCTCTGAATTTGGTTAGAAGCCCCCCATGGGAATAGTCTCTTTATCTCAAAGGAGTTGCTATTTTATGAAAGTGGGATTTAATGTGGTGAAAGTGGCTCTGGACCCACATTTTACTTACTGGATAACTAGCTCATGGAAGAGGTAATTCGGGCACAGCCAGTGGGAGAACTGCAACAGGCCAGGTAGTGGGAAAGCGCCCTCTCAGCACACTACCCCCACAACCCCAATCTCCAGGGACGCGGACCTGGGGCTCTCCCAGTGGAGGGCTCATCAAGATGGATGATGGAGGAGAACTCACTGGCCAGGGGCTCAACTTCAGCCCCTCCCTTCCCAGGTTGGGGGTGGGACCAAAGGTTCCAACTCTAACCCAGTGGTTGGTTCCCCTGCTTTCCAGAAATTTACCTCATTCACGTACTTCGATTGTGGTTAAAGGGGTTTATTATGGATGACAAGGCACCTATTTCACCTCTACGGCTCTGATTTCAGGAATTGAGAACCAGAGACCAAATATTATAAAAGGTGTTTCCATTACTGTTACCTCTTAGGAAATTCCATGTGCTTGGGGAGCTGTGAGCCAGGAAGCGTGAACAACCGGAATATATTTTATTATAAAATCTAACATCACAATTTGTAATATAGTTAAATTCACTTGCCACAGTTTGTATTCCATCTTCCCCCTACATCCTGGTGAGATTTTATTTTCTACCTATAGTGAGATTCGGTTTTTGGTGCACAGACCTATAGGTTTTGGCAAATGCAGACTCAGGTACCCATCACCAATAGTTCCATCCCATCATCCCCCAAGCTCCCTTGTGATCCCCCCTTGGAGTCAACTCTGCCCAGCCATCTCCCTGTCATTGCACTTTCCAATTAATCATGAATGATTAAATCATGAATGAATCTGATGACCTACCTCATCTGGGCCTATATCCAGAGGGCCTCGCAGTCAGACACATAGGCACACGCACACGGCCTCGTCCATGTATGGGCTATAAATCTGTAGCCACCAACTTTAACTTAGTCTCTTTCCCATTCTCTGGAGGGATTATTTCACTGCCAGATCATGGCCTCTTCTGGTGCTAGAGGACACGAGGAGGTCACCACAAAAGGGAATGACCTTGACTTCTTACCACCAAGTCCACCAGTCATCCTCCACCTGCTCCCATGTTTCTCCCTTCCTCTTATAAATCATGTCCCTTCTCTCAAGAAAGGCCAGTCCCTCTACTTCTTCTCTGGACCCCTCCCCTCCTGCCTTTGATGTCCCGAGTCTTCCCATTTTTAACCCCTCTAGCTTCCTTCTCTCTCCTCCCCTATACAGCCCAACTTGTCAGAGTTGCCCTGCTCACTGGCTCCACCTCCTCACTCCCCATTGACTCCTCACCCCACCAAGGTCGCCAAACACCTCCCCTGCCTGCCCTTGGCACTCGGTTTATTTCCCCTCAGCACTTCCAGCCTGGTGCGCATGTGCACACCCTCCTCATTCCAAACATTCTCCTCTTATTTCTTCCCATCCTTTCCTGTCTAGTCTTTCTCCTTCTCCTTCTCTAGCTT